CAAAGTAAGGAGCATTGAGGATTTTACGAAGGATTTTGGATTGTAAGGATTGTATGCGAGAGGAATTTGAAGGTTTGGTGGAGCCTGCGGATGTTAATAGTTTGATAAAAAGGGGTCTTTACCACTTACTGTTATACCGTGGCGTTTCCATTTAATAAATTAATTTAACGAGGCACTAAAATCATTTGACAAGTGTGTTAAAGTTTAAAAGTAAATACTAATTCCATAGCTACAATATAAATTCTGTTCAATCTTATGCTGATAATGTTCTTTCGAGCAATGCATCTAAAGTAAGACACTATGAAATTACACTAACAATTTTTTAAGTAAATAGTGCTCTTATTTATACTTATTTACAAATTAACTATAATAACTGTAAATAATCATACCAGTCTTTTTTATACCTGACCCCGACTGACTAGGTTACAATGATCGAAATTATAATGCACGTCTTAATAAGGTCACGTATCTAATAAGGTTCTCAGACATGTTCTCTACATCATAATAACAATAACAAAATTTTCATTAATTTTTTTACGATTCAAACTCTGTGAGGGGGGGGGGAGTAATTCTAGAAAAAATTTCCAACAAAAATATTTATTTGATACATGGGCCGATAGTGTAATTTAGGTATTAGAATTATTCTCCTTCAGAGTGATTTTACTTATTCGGTTGTATTTCCATTATTTTACCCAGATTTGGGTGTAATACAAATCCAAATAATTCAATAGTTTGCCAAAAATTTCTGAACCAGAAATTTCATTTTTGAATTTAATTTTTTGGGCGTTGGGAAGGTTTGAAATCGTATGGTTGTAATTCACTGATTAACTTACGGATTTTACTAATAGAGCTTTCACGAAAATATATTAAAAGACGCTATTATTAATAATCACATCAGTCTTTTCTATATCTGATACTAATTAGCTAGGTTATAATGATCAAAACTATTGCACATGTTTTTAATAAAGTTATCAGACATGTTCTCTACAGATTAATGAGAGCGAAGAGGCGTATCACACGGAAATCAGAGATAGTGTGCCAAGAAGGTCTCGGACAGCATGCGACCAACGTCACGCTTATAAAACATTATCTGTTTAATAATTCAGAGGGTACACAGGACCACCTTCAAAATTAATATGGCTCATCGTCGTTTTACAATTAGGAGGATAAAATCTGTATTATATATCAGGAGTGCCAAGGTCGGTGGCACAGAACCTTACTCTCAAGATATTTTATTGCTCACTTCTTCTTAAAAACATTACAAGTGATAGTGGAATTTTAAAAAATCGTAGATCATATAAAATTACACTTGCTACGGTCTGTTCCATGTTTCCCAATGTCTCTTGGTTTGAAACTTTTGATTAATTCCGTAATTCCGTCGCAATTTGTCCCTTCAAAAATTAAAACTCCATCCACATATGTCCCCCTCAAAAATTTTGATGGCGCAAGTTTCCCCATGGAACCCCCATCTGTTAGTTACTGATAAATGGCTAATCACTAAACTGTCAACCGTTTTTTCGTCAAAGGAGATGTGAAACGTGTGTGCACGACAGGGGTGTAAAATTTGAATATTTTTTGTCATTTAGACAAGTTAGAAAAAAAAAACTAAAATAAGTACTGCTTTTTGGGCGCCAATTTTGGAATTTGTAGGAGAAGAAACATTATTAGTAATTTTAATACAAACATACGGGTATAAATAATATTTTTCAACTTATGGAGACTATTTTTATGGCTTGATTAGAAGAACTAACTATAGTTTTATTTTTTAAGAAGGCCTTACCAATTAATAATGTTTATGCGAAACATTTTTTGTAAAATAAAATAGCTTTTCCTTCATCTCATACTTATATTTATATGTTAGATCTCAATTTTCTGTTATTTTTCCACTGATTTATAAGGAAGAGACAGAACTTTAAATCCTGGATATACCCATTGAAAAAATAAACATCATAAGAGATTATTAGGTTTGATAATGTATTCACGTCAGCTGGTATTATAACTAGTTCCTGCAGTGCTGGCTCTAAGCATTCGGCCCCAGGGCAATCACGTCATCCTCCCATAAAAAATTAAATTTATTTCTCAATCTGTTTTATATTATGTAATATTTGAATTTTATTTTATTCAACATTTCTCTAATAAGTTACTTTATTAATAGGCATAGTGTATACAGGTATGCAGGTGTTTTTTGCTTAGTTTTAATTTTCTTATTTTTAGGTTATTTTATTTTATTTATTGTTATTTTGCTTCTATTTATTTTTATTTTTTTTTTACATATAGTGTGAATGCTATCCTACCTCACTATAAGTAATGTCCAAGTAACAGATTGTTATAATACTCAATAAATAAATTTTAAAAAAAAATAATAGGCTAAAATTATTTTAATAAATTTTTACAATTTCTATCAAGTGGCGAGCGCCCCTGCAGATCGGCCGGCACCTCCTACAGGCGCCCCTCCAGGTCAGCGCCTTGGGGCGATTGCCCTGGTTGCCCCACCTTGACGCCGGCTTGGTTAATAATTTGAATAAAATTATTAACCAATTTACTCCAAAAATATCAAACGTAATAGCGCAAATTAGGCGTAGGGTTCGTGGAAGTGATCCCTGGCCCTCCAGATTAGGGGAACAGTACATATCCTGACACTCACACTAATGTAATAATTACAGCATACTATTCTCGCCGCAACAAAACAAGGTCTATCACATCACTGACCCTAGGCTCCCCTTTCATAGGTAACCAGCCACCCCGGATGGGGAAGCAAGTCAGACGGGTTTAAGGAGGCAACCCCTCCGTCTGATAGGGAGCAGTTGAGCAAATAAAGCATAAATCAAAAATGATTATGAAACTTCAAAATAATCAAGATAGACTTTCATAGCTAGTCTTATATTGATGAACGGCGTAGCGGAGGATTCCTGAATCCAGTGATAGAAGAGTAAAATAGAATAGAAAAGAATAGAAAAATCATCTTTATTCTGGGACTAGGTCCCTTTAGAATAACAGTATTATTCATATAAATTAACCATAAATCTGGCCAAAAGACTTATTACAAAGAATCTCCTATCTAGATACAGGTGGTGATACAAAAACTAACTTCGTTGTAGAAATTTCAAAAAATATTATCGTCCTCTAATGATACTAATTAGTATATAAGAATAAATTCCTCAAATAGAGAAATAAATAATGTAATTAATGTCATGTATTAATCATACACTAATAACTTCAGATTAACTCTACTCCAACCATGTAATGAGCGAAATTTATTTATCAAAAAATTCAAAAAGTACCTCCAATTTGAGGTGTGTGTAATATGAAACGTCTTAGTGTTTTTTAAATATTTAGCTTTCGCGAGGAAAATCAAGAAAGAAAAAATTGTATGATCCTAAAATTAATTTAAAGGACAGAAAAGGAGCCAACATTCAAACAATAATGGTAGAGATATATTATACCGTGGCATTGTTGGGAAATAACAAGGTTTTTTTTTTATTTTGTGCCAACGTTTCGGCCCAAGTTTTCTGGTCGTTATCAGGTCTAGGTAAAGACTAGATAAGAACTACCAATAAGAAAGGTAAAGAAAAATATTATGGAAATGATAATGATAAATCAAATATGAATAAGGAAAATTAAATACTGAGAGATAAATTACAATATATAAGTATTGTATATAATGTCAAGGAATGATTATGGTCTGTAGGGCATATTAAAATTGGTGAAAACTATAATATAAGATGATAATGGGCAGTCTATTACTCCTTATATTACATTTTTTCTTGTATTTTAATATTTTCAACAGATAATAAAATGTCAAATATATTACCATTCCTTACATAACGTAAATTAGTGAGAGAAAAATACTAGTTTTCGAAAGAAAGGTACTTCAGAAGATATTTGGCCCAGTAAAGGAGAATAATGAATGGAGAACATGACATAACCATGAACAAACCAACTTGTGAAATATATCCGAATAAGATGAGCAGGTCATGTCGTGCGGAAGGATGAGACCTCAACTCCAAAGAAGCTGCTCAGCGTGGAACCAGGTGGGAAAAGAAAAGTGGAAGAACAAAGTTGAGATGGATAGATTGCCGATGCTCAGGACAGATAATTCCAGACAATTCTTGAGACAGCTGGGGATTACTGGGAATGATGATTATTATCATGCATTTCCATTATGTTAGATAACTATATATTTTAATACAATATAATAAGACTTCCCAATATGTCGACACATAAAAAAAAAAGAAAAAAATTGACCGCACTCGTCAATCAACTCTGTTTACAATACAGAATGAAACATCATATTCTGTCTGCTACTTCTCTTCCACCAGAAATACCAATAAATCTCAATGGGAAAACTTCACCCAGACCACCATTCATGGTAATTCCTCCTCCAGCTGTTTTATATAGTCATCTCTGGAGTTATTCTTGAAGTTGATTGTTGCAGAAGAAGGCAATGGAATATGGTCCCATATGACATACACTTTGATGTGTATGTATATGTATGTATGTATATTATATGTGTGTGTGTGTGTGTGTGTGTATAAATTAAAGGTTGAAGGTCATACGAACAGAAAATGCAAGTGTGATGCCTATTATTTAAATTTATTTTTTATTTCATCCCATTTTTTTTTTTTTATGCCTTAACCAAAATAGCGTGACATATCTGGAAAATCAATAAAAATTTAACTGTTCAACATGAGCACGTGGTGCTTGCTCCTCCTTATCACTTGCCGCTTATATATTAAGGGGTCTCATATTATCACCATTTCTCTGAATGTAAATAATATTCATTGGAATGATAAGACAATAAATAAAATATCTAGTTAATTTAAGAAGCCAGTATAGACTTGCCATTGTTCAGTAGAACCTAAATTTCAACTTCTGACGTAACTCAGCAAAATTATTACATAAAATAACGACTATTAACCACGTGAGATAATCGATATGATAGTGATAATCGACTATTTATTATTTAATTAGATATGGTGATAACTTATAGTACTACTTACTGTTGAAGAGGAGAGGACCTTTTTCATCCATACCGGCTTACACTCTGGCTTAACGCGCGTATATTATCCACCCCTCCCCACCCCAACCAGTGCCATAACTCCCACCCAAATATATGTGTATATTTAGATGATTTATATGTGTGTGTGTGTGGGGGGGGGTATATACATATACATACTCTATATATACATATCGAATTATCCAGTATTCCTTAATATTTTTTTTTACATTAATAAAACTTTCTTATTAATAAATGAATTCGGTGCAAAGTGGAATAATCGAAAACTTCTTGAAGTCATAGACATAAACGTGAGACTGTTTGAAGGGTAATTTTCTATATTTGAAGTATTAAACATACGGTCTACTTATTGTACATTTAAAATAAATATTTTTTCATTCCATAAAGTAACGCTAATCAGTTTATTTTTCCATCAGTATAGGATAAATTAATCATTATTCTTTTCTCCTTTCGGAAATATCCTTGTTGATTTAACAAGTGGAAGTTTGAATTTTTGTGTAACAAATATCTGACTAGTTTATAATTAAAAAAATCATCATTTGTCTTTATTAAAATTTTTAATAATGATTAAAAAAAAATCAGGTGTATCACAAAACTTTCACTGATAATTGAAACTTACTACAATTAATATAAAGCATATCGATTCTATGCAATATATGTTTTTGGTTTGTCAAGCTAATTTTTTTTTTTCAATTGTCTTTCATAGAAATTTTATTCAGTTTATAAGAAAAAAATATTTCTCGTTAAAAAATAAACAATAATAATAAAATTAGACTTTCTTAATTACAAAAATTAAGTCATTACAGTTTCGCCATTCTCCATTACCTTCTATAACTTAATATGTTACATATTGATTTCTTAAAATCTTTAGTTTTTTAATGGTATACTATATATCAATATTACTACTCTTATTTCCGGAAATATGTTTTCAATGTACAGAAATATTTCTTACATCTTCCCCTTTTGTCAATCATCACTTTTTTTTAGCTTTCATATTTATCCATTTTGCATTACTATTACTAGTGACCTTGACAATGAGAGACCTTATTTCTAATAATCATAAGAACACATTTTTATTTATTCTTTATTCGAATAAAATTTGCCCAACTATGACTTGCATCCCTTTACTTCCAAAGCAAAGTTAACATCTATTTGGGTTTAAGTGATTGAGCACTATAATGCAGCACTGGGTGGACAGAACCCAATCCGCGGTATATTATACCCTTTTTTATTAAATTATTAACATATGACTAAAACTTCATAACCTAAAACTTTTTTATTTCCGAAAATTCTCGGATAAGGGGTGTTTTAAACCTGGAGATCGGTAAACTTTGTCTATATAATGAGGTGCTAAAAACTCATGAACACCCACTTGATAGCATTTGATCATATAATCGAGAAAAAAGGTGGCCTATAAAAATATAGAGCACCTGTTTTTCACAATTTCATGATCAAATTTTCTTATGATTCAAATGGAAAGAAGATGGGTATTCATGTGTTCTTAGTACTTCTTTAAGTTAATTAGCTTAATTAAAAAGCCCCATTTTTGAGAATTTCCGTTGATAAAGTTGTAGGTTACGATAAGACAAAGCCATTCACGAAGTTTTGGACGGATGTTAATAATTTGATAAAAAGTGGTCTGTGCCGCTGACACCTGTATCTCTTAACTACGAAACGGTAGTGTATAAAAAAATTTAAAAAAATGACAGTTTTTCAACCAAATATTTGTATTATTATTTCTTTGATATAAAATACAATTTACACTCAAAGTATAATCCATAGTTATCTACCGTCATTAGCCTTCTGCTAGCCAATTGCTCGATCCCATGCTGATAACATTCTTTGGGATGGCTGTCAAAGAATTCTTGTATTGAAATTTCAACTTAATTCAAAATTATCAATTTCTTTCCCTTGAAAAAAATGGTCCATGGACCTAAATAAGTAGTAATCCGATGGTGCGAGGTCTGGACTATATGGTGGATGAGGCAAGAGTCTCATATCAGAAGGGTTTTTCAATAAATTTTCACGAATTTCTAACTGCTTAGCTGATTGCCGAGGAGTTAGTTCGTGAGGGACCAGTCTACTGTTTTTTTCACCTTCCCCATGGAGAGTAAATGGCAACTAACAGAATATTTCGACACGACACACTCCCTGGCAACTTCGCGAGTACTCGTGGACGGATTAAACTCAACAGCTTCCTGCAGAACCTTATCGATCTTCATCCTTTCCAACGTCGTATCTCCACTGCTAAATTGTTCAAACCAACGCCGCGCAGTGCGCTGGTAAAGGACACCTTCCCCTTCATGTTTAATAATTTCACGAGTTACTTCAGCGGCTGTAATTTTTTTTTTCCAGTAATGCCTTAAAATTACGAGAATTTCGTACGAAACTGTCATGTTTCTTTTTTCAAACAAATAACTAAACTAAGGTTTTTTTCGAAGAATTCAAATGGGATTAAACAAGCTCAGAAAATTTTCTAAAGGGATTATTAACTATTGGTGAGTATTAAAATATATAAAGTCCATTGAAATCTTGAATTTGATAAAACTATCATTTTTTTTTATATACACCCTATTATATAGAAAAATTTCCAGATCAGCCTTGCAATTAACTCTATTTTGTTCTTGTTTTTTTTTTTATACATGCACACATTTATTTATTGAGTAATAATACATATTGTCACTATTAAGGATATAAGTAATAGTGATAGAGCTCATTCACACTCTATGTACAATAAATAAAAATAAAATAAACAGCAATATGATAATAACTATTTTAAAAAAATAATGCAATTATATCCCTTCACCTCTGGAATCTTCATAAGGCACCACTATTTTGGAGGTGGGAGACATCAGCCCGAATATATATAACGATAATTACTTTGGAAAAAAAAGAAAGATACTAACTACCTATATGAAATGGTGTTTAAATGATTCTTGAAGTCCTATTAAATGTAATTTTACGAACAATAATACTTTTTAATTCTTTTTTACCATAAAACATGGGTACATTTTACCATTTTGGGTGGGGGGGGGGCTTCAGGTCGAAAGCCCCTCACCCCACCCATCTCCCCGTAGATCCTTGCCTGTGCAAAGGCAGTAATTTTCTAATCCCTCCCATTACAAACTACTCACATATTCTATTCATTAAGTTATCAGACAAACGAGAAAGTCCTTATTAAGAAATGTCTATTTTTATAGAAAGGATTTGATTATTAATAAGTAGATGCTAAGTTGATCGCAATATATCGAGCGGTTGGCATTGACCTCACTCCCCACTGTTTACGGCAATTCAAGGACCAGAAATAGACGCAACCTAAGCAACGGCCCTCTCAATAATTCAGTCCCTTCAAGCAGCAATAACAATAAAGTCATCGCCAGGATTCAACATTTTACATACCATCATAAAAAATGAAAAAAAAAATAATGATCTCCAGAAGAAAACATTTTAATCGATATCAAAAAAAAAAATACACTTCCATCAAATAACGAAAGATATTGTCATAAAATTAAATTTCATCCATAATCAATTTTAAACATAGAGAAACAGTAAACTTAAATTTTCTTCCTTTCATATAAAAAATAGTTTATGTATTCTATTAAACTCGCTAATAAAAATTTATTTAAAATTCGGTTTATTATCGGGCATCGATATAGTTTTTTAAAAACAATGTAATTTTGCATACTTGCAAAAATGTACCTACGTTAAAAATATATAAATTATAACAGCTATTTAGGTCCATTAATTTCTAACCATGTCTAATTCCAGTCAAAAAAACTGTATGATTTATTAACATGATTTTGGATTCCCTTGGAAGTTTTGAAACCAGAGGGTTAGGGAACCAACTTAACAAAAAAATGAAGATGTTCTTATCTTATACATAATAACTCAAGCATACACATTAATTTTATCACTACATGTGATATAACTCTATGTTATATTTTATTTTAGCAATGCTCAAAATAAACATACAAATATTTTGAAAAATCCTATACTATGTTATTTTTAACTGAACACACAGAAAAAAAATTAGTTCGTTTTAAAAATTGATCCTATTGATTATTTAGGATTGATTTTAAATTAAATGTTTCCTTAAACTTTGACAGTAAAAGATTTATATCGAAATTGTATTACAGCAATCTAAATATCAAACTATCTCAATCTATTTGGCCAATAGTTCTTCAAGAATTGCCATCACCATTTCCCATGTCATGTCAAGTCTCAATAGATTTCACTTTACATGAATCAGGGAAGACCAAGTGTGGCAGGTAAGTGTTTTTATTGAAAGTGAATTTTGGCTCATCGTAATCAGATGACCCAAAATAAAGCAATGCTCAAAATAAACATAAAAATATTTTGAAAAATCCTATACTATGGAAATCAAATAAACCAAGGCAGTAGAAACGTGTTGTAGTATTATATCAAATCATGTTTACAAGGCTTTTATAGGAAACATTTACCCAACAATTATTGACTCTACGCAATCAAAGCCGTTTCACAGTTACATAGAATGAGTGAACCAACTATGAAACGTATAAATAAAATACTCAACAAAGATTTTTCAAAATAAGAAAAGAAGAATATTTACTCAAATGTGACATAATAGACGTGTAATTAGATTTGTGGAACATTACTACATATATTAATTCAATTATTTGAAATTGAAACACAATACTATTTTTTAGGTCTGCAAACACGAAGAAAAGAAAAATCGCATTTCTAATGCATTTTCCACTTTGGCACACGCTATTTAAACTCCTGTATAATATGATTAAGCATAAATAAAAAAATAGTTACAATATAATAAATTACATAAACTGAATTAAGCAATGTCATTTCATGTGAAATATGGGTTCTTTTTAACTGAACACACAGAAAAAAAATTAGTTCGTTTTAAAAATTGATCCTATTAATTATTTAGGATTGATTTTAAATTAAATGTTTCCTTAAACTTTGACAGTAAAAGATTTATATCGAAATTGTACAACAGCAATCTAAATATCAAACTATCTCA